CATAGCCCAGGAGACTATATTGGTACACGGAAACTCTCGCAAGCTCGAAGGAGCTAGCTTTCGTGATAATCCTGGTGAATCTGTGTAGCTACCCTTCTGTTCATCCCCATACCATATAATGCAAGCTTACAAATGCCCTGCATATTCTTCTCTCCTACATCCATCCAGCCACCCTCCCCTCCATAAACCAGCTACGAGTAGGAACGAGTCGCTGATCTCAGGCAAGAACAAGTCAAGAGCATGTCCGGAAACCATACAACATCGGGGGAATGGGGGCTTGCAAGCATGTGACAATGCATGGCAAAAACGTGGAGCAGTTCAGTGAACCAGCTGCCTCATTCAGGAACACCAACATGGTACAGGCAAGGTGCGGCAAGGTCCCTTTTAGAGGGTGCCAGAGCATTGCAAGTAGAACCGTCGACGTGTGACTATGGTTGTACCCATCACTTCTTGCCTGCTTCTTGGGATCTGCAACATTTTGCTAACATTCTCCCGGGGAGTATTTCATACTTCTGACATAGAGGTCATTGACGTATCTCAATTCCGTAGCTGTCGGCATATTATAATGAGACAGCTTGGCATTTGACATCTTTACTCTTTACGTCCATATTACTCGTAGTCTCGGCGATCGGTCCTTGGAACCGATTGTTCGCCTCCTCTGAGGCGGTTCGCGGAGACGCAGCAAGAGAATTTCCTGCGCTGCTCCCTTAACAGCAACACGGAGCTGATAACAACGTCGCTCTACAAGTGATCTATACAGAAAGCACCTCCTTCTCAAAAGGCGAGCCCTTTTTGAGCAAGCGCCTTACAAGGAACGTTCGGAGTATCCCATTCGCGAAGGCATCGCGAGTGTCGACACAAGCTCCTCAGCAGAAAGCTAAGCAACTGGTGCAACTTTGCCATCTATGGACCGCAAACCTTGTGCCCGCGGTGTCTGTAGCATTGCGCTGTTATGTTCAAGGAACAGCGCATGCATGTCTTGCTTACTTACTGTGCCAGCATGACTTGAAAGCGAGCTCAGTAGCGCTGTCTGTCAATTACAACTAGGCTGACGTGACAAGCAGCTGGTATCCACGTTGCATCTTGAAGGAAGATCCCTTCCATCTGGAAGGAGCTGCCTGCTAGCTGCTAGCTGCTGCTTTAGGGTGAGTTGGGCAGCAATCCAGTTGTGTTTCGGGCTTGCACAGGGGTATCGACCTAGGCTGCTTCAACATGGTTCATGGCTTCAGGAAATGCCACAAGAGTTGCATTGTATCCGGAATAGACCAGCCACGCTGTTAGGACGAGAGCCAGCTTCTGGGAGCTAAACAAGCGTGGAATTTCGGGTGGAGACCTTGAGAGCACGTTGAATGCAAGATTTTACAATTTGTCTTGTGAGCAAATCTGCACATTCCCCATATTTGCAAAATCAGCGCCCAGTATTGCAGTTGAAATGCCAACTACAAGTCTTGCTGTAGCATGTTTGTGGTTGATGACCACTACAGTATGCATTGAATGCCGAAATAGCGTTCCCTGTCCACTTGCTGAAAGCAGGGGTCAAAGAGGAGTGAAGAGAGCTTGAATGCTGGGGTGCTGTGAAGCTGGCCATCTCGATGTCGGACATAGGCATCCTGCTGGAATGTGCGCGGACATGGGCCCTTTAGAAACATGCTGAAGGACTTCAGGTCAACCGCGTGGGTACAATACAAGTGCCTCCAGATTCATGTGCCGAGCATTTTCAGAGTTGAGACTCGGGATGGGTGAAAGGGTTTATCCGCGTCTGCTATGGCAATCGTTATTTCAGATCGCAGATCTGGCGCATTTCGATCTTCCGAGCTGTGTTGTCGCTTTTTGCTTGTGATCTCATGTAAACCAGGTTGGAAGGCGGATAGCTCTGCCAGTTCCATCTCCTACCAGTCACCTCCTTTTACCTGATGTTCGCCCTCACCTGTGACGCAGGCACGTACTACAACCCAACAGACAAATTGACCGACGCCATCAGTTTTATTCCGTACCCTGCGGAATGATCCGTAGGGCTTGATTGGAAGAACTAGTCTGAGGCCACCTCTACTACCCGAAGCAGCACCTGAAAATATCACCAAGTCAGCTGGTTCAAAATGGCGCTGATCATCCATTCATGCTGCCAAACATGCAAACGTTCACCCTGGCATGAGCAAGAAGAGTCTTACTCATACCATACAGCTGCTACACTGCTACATAGATCCCACATTGCGCCCTGCGGTGAATGTCCGGGAAGTTCACAGCGCGCAGGGACAGCCCAGTGTCTGCCAGGCCGGGGAGTACCATCCTAGGATTTTCAAAGAAGGCAGGCAAGGCGCAGCCTTGCTTTTGGACTCTTTCTAAGCTTCATGTTCTGGGGTAACCACCAAGTCAAATGTCCAGTCATGTGTGATCTTGAACTGCAGAAGTCATGCATGTTCTATATCGGCCATCCCACTTTGGCAAAGTGGTCATAGATGCATTCGCATCACAATATTACTAGATATTACTAGTGTTGGCCTCGCATTTGAAAGCCCAGTGCTGCGCAAGACGGTTGCGCCTGCGGAACTTCCCAAAAAGGCATGCTGTCCCGGGCCTCCTGAAAAAATCCAAATCAGTCCTGCGACGACGACCTGCAGATGCATGTTCCTGGGAACCAACAAGCCTGGCGTCCACGAGGCATCCAGGCAGAAGAGCTGCGAAGCGTCAGAAGGACTTAGCCTTCAGATTGAGAAGCAAATAGTGCAGCTTTTCAGGATCCAGCAGCCGTTCGAATGGGCTAAAGCTGTCAGTTTTATGCCCGCTGACCATCTCCTAGACCTGAACTAGCCGGTGTGCCTCTTGGCACTTCCTTTTCTAAACCTTCTAGATCTTTAGTTTCAGTTGCAAGAGATGCCGTCCCTGTCTGGCTATCGCGGCAGCTATGACAGAACTGCACGATCCAACATGGCAGATACACTTCGCTGCTAGAACCTGAACGAATCCAAGTTTCTCCAGCTTGCCACATCTGTGCCTGAAATCCCCCACAATCTCTGGTGCTCTGTACAGGTCTGGAACGAACATGTGCAGAAGCTCCTGACGGAGATCTCTAGAGCCTCTCCTGCGTTTGGGACTCAAGTGGCTGTAAGAAACTTTTTGTTGTGACATCCAAGAGCTGCTGCTGTCTATACGGAGCAGTAATATGTAGGGAATGCCACGCAATCCGATCAGAAAGCCACGATAGCACTCATCAACTACCATCAGGCACCGTCTCAACGTGTTTCATGCATGTTGACTCGCTGCGTCACACCACAGTGGCCTCAAGAAATGCAGCGGATGGTTGACAGCCTTGCATAAGCGTCCGATTGCCACATACATTAAGCTTATTGCCACCACAATGTCTGCGTACTAGCAGTAATATCAATATCTCACATGCAAGTATCTAGCGCCTAATCAAATCAAGAACCGCATATCCGTCCTAGCAAAGATGATGTTCCCCAGTACTCAGCCTCGAGGCTGACCGTGCCACCAGGCTTGAGGCCAGCGCGGACCACAAACGCCTGTGCTTGACTTGACATACGACAAATCTGCAATGAAGCGTTCGTTTGGCAACTAGCTTTGTTCACGCATTGCAGACCATGTTCGTCTTTGCCTCCTGGCAGCTGTTCACATGCATGCATGGATCGAGCAACGCTGCCTTGGTCTGAGCCAGGGCTTTCCTGGCCGCCCTCCGTCTCTCAGTCTCAGGCTATGTGACCACATTACTTTGGATTTGTCCATGTGTTCTGTAAGCACTCTCGGAAACATAACCATCACTTATCATGTGCAGTCACTTGGGGGCGTCACGTAGCAGTGGCCTCATCTTTGGAGGATGTGAGCTTGCCCTGATAGCCGAGATAGACACCCCAGTCCTCCGCTGGCGAAAGATCAAATAATAAGAATCTCATCAGAGGTTGAGGAGGATCGAGCTGATGCAGCTGAAGCAAGTGGCGCTGCAAGTCGCACGCCTATCAGTCGCTATCAGTCCTGAAAGGCTTTGAAACGATAAGCAGTTCCTTGGCTCTGTCACCGTGAGTAGCGTTTCACGGGAGAATCCCCGCCACTCAAGACGCCACAGACAATCATGCTCAGGCAGACGCCTATCTCAAGCAGCGGCTGGAGGTTTGACGGCCTTTCGAGGTAAAAACTACAAACAAGCCTGCACAGTACAGGAATGAGCCTGCAGTCTTCATGTTCGGCACGCTATTGCCGGCATCATTGCTGTAGAGTTGCTGCCGTCCAACTGTTGGCACCCCAAGGCCAACACGTGGCCAACCATCCTCCTGGAGGGGTTTGGGCACGATCTATCTTGCAGTCAAATGGCTGGCTGCGGATGGCCGCAGGTTCCTGCCCCACTAAATGCAGAGGCGGACTAACTTGAGCCACTTACTTACGAGATCGTACTGGCATGTACTGGCAAATCAAAGTAGGCAATGGTGTGAGCACCAGTCCCAGGCTGTCCCACACCACCCGGTCTGCAAGCACCTCTCGCAAGCAAAGCCGCAGATTAGTTCTTGCAGGTTGGAGAGCCACAGCACTTTAGCAACAAGGCCAGCGCGCTCCATCTGTGAACAAACCATGCGGCAAACTTCTGCACAGAAATTGCACTTGTGTGACAAGGTTTGAAATGAGGCTTAGCTGAAGATCGTAAGTTCCAAATCAAGGCCCTGAGCCGGAGAAATGAAAAGGTGCTGATGAGCCCTCCAAGAGGGTTCTGCATGGTCGAAGCGCCACATGGCGGATTTTGTGCGACATGAACCTGTTCTCCGTGTCTTGGGACATCGTAGTGCAACTGGCCTGCCGCTCTTTGCACTTGTCACCGCGACCGCCAGGACTGTCGGATGGCCAGGCATGGTAGATCATAACCTGCTGCTGATTTCTGCACAGGCACTGAGTGTAGAGGTGGAGTCTACAAATGAGGATCCACCTCTTCCAGGGATTGAGTCTGCATAACAACTGACATCAACTTACGCTTCCAACATATGATTGTTCTAAATGCAGCTTCATGATGGCTTCATGTCTATCTGATCTTCGAGCCCTGTAGCATCGCCACCCAAGTCAGTGACCACAACGCAGTGCCCCGGCCCGGCGAAGCCGCGACCGCTGGAGAGAATCGGGGCAGCGGCTTTCTCGTAAGGCCCAGTGACCTCCGCAAGGGGGTCGAGTAGCTGCCCGACAGACGCCGGTACAAAATACTCTTGAAGTTACCGCCGCAGTCCAAGCCTAAGTCTAGGTTTGTTTGCTGTTTCCAAGCACCATGATGCAGTGCTGTGATCCAGCCTGCTCAGACCGTGCAACGCCCACGCAGTAACGGTGGTTCGCGTAGCACTCGCCCGAGTAAAACCTGGGTACAGGACAGTGTGGCCACTGAAAGTTGTTAACAGAAATTGACAGCACTTGATGCGGACGGAATGGCCATAGAGCACTAATCGCGGCTCTGCTGCAGGTAGTAGTAGTGCCCACGCTTTATCAAGAAGGGTCCTTCCACCACAGAACCTGGCCAAGGCAGCCGAAGTGCAGAACGAGTGTGCCCCTTCCAGGGCTGCTGCGCCAGCACTCCAATCCCCTCCACCCAGAATCCTCCCTGCCTTCCCATGGAAGGTCATTGCGGATAAGCTGAAGAACTTCTGAACCACCCGCCAATGCTGTGCCACTTGCATCAAGCTCTCCTTGAGCACGTTTGAGTTGTCGTGGCATGCAAACCGTATTGCGCATGTTGCAGAAGCAAAACTGGATCGATTGCAACTTGTTCAAACAGAACTTCGGCCAGGTTCGCATCTTTATCGCCGATGGCACGCCATGGGCATTGCCATCGATTTTCCAAAGCAGGAACTGTTTGGCACTGGCTTCATCGAAGAAATAGGTCCTTGCAGTGGATAAATATGGTCCAACACTCTTGATTCGTGCAATCGGCTTTCTTCACAGCGATACTAGCAAATTATGTTACTCAGAGACAATGGAACTTCAGCCACTTACGCCGTGCATCTTCACGGGACTTCAGCAGCATTGATTCAAGCGTCGGATCAATTGCCCAGTGAGGATCACTCACAAGGGGCTGACCAGAATCTCGGTATGGGCCTTCGGGAAGTTCCGCTATTGCCACTCCTGAGCAGTACAGGGTTGATTGTAGGCCTGTTGGACACGCATGCTGCTTGCAGCGTACTGTAGGCAGGGACGAGAAGACATCATAGACTCTTGAGGCCAGCAAACGCTGAAGCATCAAAACCACATCCGAGACACCTACGTGCAACACCCTTCCTGGAGCAGGCTCCCGAGCGCTGAAGAAAACCGCAACGTCGCCGCTTGGAAGCCTAGAATGCGGAGTTACCCCTTTTTTCCCAAGCCGTGTCAGCATAGACAGAAATGCCCCAGAAATCAAATAAATCTGACCAAGCACATGTGATGTGCTGCCCTGCTGCTGGTGCATCTCAGGCGCCCAGTAGTCGCACTTCCTAAGAAGTTCGATGACCGTTTTAGGGAGATATATATATATATATACATACATAGCATGTATTTGTATGGTACCCAGGTTGTAATAGATAGAATACATTGTCAAGACATTTAGTATAAGGAAGGGCTGAAGTGGCCAAAATCACTACTGTAGGGTCTATCAACATTTTGCAGCTCCCACAGGAAAACCAGGAAAGGGTTTCCGAGTAAAAAAGCGAAGAGGTTTCAAACGACTCGAACGATGTAATCCCAAGACCATGAGAAGCTTCAAACATCTCATTCTCAACGTCTCAATCATTGAGCAGCTTCAATCTTTTCAAGCCCGACACCCGAAGAGGGCTGACGCCTCTCATTTTGGAGTCCCATAAGGACGTTCCCTGTGCGGTTTGAGCTCGCGATCTATGGCTCATAGGACCATCGCTCTAACCCCTGAGATAAGGGAACCCGAGCCTAGAAAGCCAACAACAACCTTCAAAACATACTTGTAGTCAAGTCCAATGGCCTCATGGGCAAGGCGTCGGACAATCTGAAGACTGCTCAAACATGCTTCCGGTAGAAAGAAGGCCGCTAGCCATCGATGTTTCTGAATTTTGGGCTAAACTCTCAGGGCTCCAAATAACTGAAACCTTTGATTCGTTTGGAGCCTCATTAGCGTCTTTTGCACAAACATCTTCAAACGATTAGGGCATTTCAGCGCTTGCAACTGCGAGAACCGAGAAAATGGAAGCTATACCCTTTTCAACTGATTTCCACCCATGCCTTGCAGGTCCTAGATTCTCGACAAAAAACGCAAAATCAACCAAATCCAGTTCCAAGTCTGCCCATGCCTGGGAAGTCTTGCACTATGTAGAAGCTCACTAATTTCAACTTACGAGAATTCAGTTAAGCTGGCGATGGTCACTGGAAAGCTCTTGGTCATGCAAAACCTAATTCAAAACAAGAAGAAAAGATCCTTTCAATGTAACTTTGGGCAAATCTTGATTCCGCATGGAGCCTGTTTACATTCAATTTGGGCTTGATCAAACTCCAATTAATTAGTTCAGTTGTGGCTACTCCCAATCTGGGATGATCGTTTCATGTAGAAATGGAGATGAGAGAAAAATGTCATTAAACTTTGGGTAGAGCTTGTCTGAGGCCGAAGGTTTTTGCAAAACGCATGTGCTGAAAAAGAGTCATCTGCTTCTACATGAAGATAGTGGATCTCATGAGGCTCACTGAACATGCTCAAAACCTGGTGTCCACACCCAGATATAGAAAGGTACTCATTGTATATGAAAGCTCAAATAGCCGAGTTGTTCCTGCCCATTGGAAGCAGCGCGTGGGGCCCTTGCTGGAGAAATTGTCAATGCAATCGGATCGGCGTCGCTTCCGCCAAGCTGGCGAAGGGCGCGATGGGTGGAGAAATGCGGGCTACTACGCTGCGGCTACCACCCGCGAGACACAGCAGAAACATCCCAAAAAGCGCTCCGCAGCGGTATCAGTTCCCTTGTAGTCCACTCCCATAGCGAAGGGGTGGGCACAAGTTGGATTTGTCATGCTGGCCCAAGACTCAAGAGTCACGCCGTTTGACAGACACCTCGGGGGACCCTGTATGGCCTGATGAATACGTACCAGCAGGCGTTCTCCAACTATGGCATGGTGTTGTTGGAAGCGCCTGGAAGATTAAACGCACCGAGTGCAATGCAGCGACACCGAGACCCTGGGGCGGTGGCAGGCTGGACGTGCACCTTCCAGATTCCAGCAAAGAAAGCAGGCAAATTGCCCAGTTCTGATGTTCTGGAAGAACATCCGGCATCAGCAGCTGAGGTGGCGCGATCTGATGTGAAGATTGGGGCTATCGCCTGATGACAAAAGGCCGAGCGAGCACATTCCTCACAAGGGCAGGTTAACCACATACTCCACGAAGCAAAAGCAGGGCATTGAGCAATGGGCTGCAAGAATTCGATATGAATCTCTGAAACGTGTAACCTGGGCTCAGATCATCCAAATCGCCATGATTTCCAAGAAGTCAGCGGCACCGAGGAGCTAACGGAGCCAATGGCTGCATCCACACCAAAAGGGGAGAAGGGGTCAATAAGTCTGTAGCCGAAGCCCTCACAGGCCACAAGAGGGTTCACAGCACAGTTTCAAGCTAAATGCTTGGCGTTGGCTGAAGCCGTGACCATTGCTAGGGCATACTGGATCTAGCAGGGAACTGACCCGCGGACAGGAGCAGTGGGCAGACTTCCTCAAGAAGATGAGAGATTCCAAGGCGGCAAAATCAGCTTGATAGGAAGGCGGCATGCGCATCCTTGAGTAGGGGCTGTGAAGTGAAGGCCTTCCAAACTTTTTTCACAACCTCCTCCGCACAGTAAGCCTGAGGATGGAACCTTGAGGCAGAGCATCAGTCTGATGCATGTACTCACACCACCATAGGTGAGCTGGGTTCTGAGTTTGGTACTTGGGGTTGCTCAAGGCTCAAATAGCTCCATGTGCAATGCCAGCTTTCTAGATGTGCCTTTCGGCAATGAAGTGCCGGACAGCCAACCTCACCCTCAAGCTCCCGCGCACGGCCGACCGGTCTGCTTGGGATACCAAACTTTGAGACTGATTAGACTAGTTTCTGGCCTTGACGTCCAAAACACAGACAAACTCAAGTAGTTTATACATTCCTTGCGAGTCAATCTGGTTGCTGAGTGGGTCAGAGCCATCGTTCTAACAATCCAACTTGCCTTGTTAGTCTGATCAATCTGTTTCATCTACAGGTAATAATACATTATATCTGAACTGGGAGGGCTACAACGGGATGATAGAGGTGTCATTCTAAGGAACCCCAAGGCATCGGGGATGTCATTAACTTCCTGTGTTTCTACCCTTGCTCGTAAAGGTCACATAGATGATCCTCAAAGAATCTTGCTGAGCTTGATGAGAATTGGAGGTTTGTGAACTTCGCGAACATGTGTGTGGTTTGATTATGATTACAGATACCGTTCTTAGAATCAAATTATGAAGGTCTAACTGACTCGGAAATCCAAAGCTAGGCCCTGCAATCTTTTGTTTCCGAGTGAGAAGATAGATAGTTTTTTGTAGAGCAGGAGTTTCTGTTGGTGCCCACATATGACCACATATGTCTTTCCGTTTGAGCACCCTCTCACTAAAAGTGTAATTTTGGATCACTCATTGTTTAGCATTGCGTGGCTTGCACGAAGTCCAGCTGGAATTTGGTGCATCCTGGATTTGCTGATTTGCTAGATCTTATTGTGTTAGCTATGCGATGCTATACGTCTACAAACGAACTTGTTTACAGGAGTGCAGAAGAAATCTCATTCAAAATGAGGATGGATACGCTTGATTTCCTAGGCGGTCGTTGTTATTGTTATTACAAGATGTTCATACAAGACCTGGTGAATAAGATTCTAGAAATGCTTGAATTTGGTGATCGTTTTCGTTTTGCCATTTCTGCAACGGAAAGTTTCCATAAAGGAGTTTACATAACATGGAACCAGTCCATTGCACAAATAATTCGAAAGCAAAGAATCAACCAATCAAAATTACATAATGGCTGCACTTATATACCTAAGGAAAGCAAATCAATTTGATCTCTAGTTAGAGTCCGTTGCGTTAGGGGTTTGTATACTGACAGTAAGCCAATTTACGAAACCTGAATTTGGTTTGTGATCTTGTTTGATATGCAGCATACATGTTAGCGAATAAGTACGGCCGAAAACTTTGCAAATACTAGCATTTTTGGTTGGTTCATATAGGTTCACGCGGGTAGACATGCATTGGGATATTAACGTTGATCTAAACTCCTTCATCCTGAAGAAGTGACCGTCTTCAGGAAAAAACACTTTTGCAAACATTTCACATACCCATCGCCGCGAATGATTTCTGACAGCTAGCCCCGAAACTCTATATCAGAATCGGAAAGCCGCTGACTTCGCAACACCCTTCCCTGCATACTTGAATCCAAAGCACCCACACTTGCACACCAAAGCCTCAGGTCCAAAATCTTTGAGCCTAGTCTCCTGCATATGCCAACAGCAAGCTCAGAGGCTGGGAAGGCTTCTCATGTCCGATTCCAACTCTCCAAAAGCCCAGAGCAGGTGGGGAAAAGTTTACTTACGCGGTACTTACATGGAACTTTCACGCAAACTTCCGTTGCCAGTCCGCATTAGGGCCCTAGACTTGGAGCCCAGGAGTGTCTACCCCAGATAAGCTTCCAGGAGTCAAAGACTCTACGAGAAGGACGGGATTGAAACAGAAGAGGTCCAAGAAGTAAGGCTTCGCTTCCAAAGGAGATGAGCAAATTGGCTCTGAGAGACCTTGAGAGGCATAGCCTTTTGCAG